TAATAGGCCTATATATTTATATTTATAGATATATGATATATAAACTATCCTAAATCTGATGAGTACTTTGTGTTTATCATTAATTTCTTTTTACTATATAGTATCAGTACTGAAAGATTTTTTATACAGTGAAGTAAATTGATGTTCTGAGAATGCTCCATCATGCCAGACTTGATTATTATAATATCTATATTATGAATAAATAAACATATATGAAAGTAAATACTGTAAATGTCTTTCTGTACACTATTTGCTTAAGTTTTCATCTCATCTTTCTTGCTAAACAATACAGTATAGTATTTTTATCTGATGATTGTGTTTGTAGTGGTGATGATGATGATGATGATAATGATGATGATGATAGTGATGATGAAGATAGTGATGATGAAGATAGTGATGATGAAGATAATGAGGCGTAGAAGGAGGACGACGACGATGATGTTTGCCTGATGATGTTGACAACATTGATGAATACGCAGAAATTCAGACAAAACTATCGCCTGGTTTGATATTACACGAATAGGCCCACAGGACGGTATCCCAATTGTATTCAAGTATTAAAATTTAAGCATGCATATTATACAGCATGATTAAAAGGAAAATAGGAAAGGTGCTAGTAAGGATAGGGAAAGGCATTGGTCCGCCTGTGCAGTCACTGGACTCATTCTACCACACACTAGAGGATAACAGCCATCCGCTCCCACGCTTATATGATTTACCTGGTGGCATAGGCTGAAATGGTAGAATGAGGACAGAGGGTGCGCATACGGACCGTTACAAGTACTCATTCTGCCCAGCTGGGATAAGGGAGTTTAATTTAAGATATTCAAGATTATATAATAATGAAATTTCCAAAAATAATTGGACAATAAAATTAATCTTTATCTGTATAAGAAAACTCTGGGAAAATTGTCGATTACCCGAGAGAATTTGTATATAAACTAATATATCGTCGTAATTACATCTGTTAATTATGTATGTTCAACTAATCTTATATAACTATAAACAAATAGATTCCAAATACCTATAATTGCTTTGATTGTGGCATATTTAAATATATATATATATATATATATATATATATATACATATATATATATATATATTTATATATATTCATGTGTGTGTGTGTGTGTGTGTGTGTGCGCGTGTGGGAGGGGTAGGCCTATCATGGGTGTTTCTCTGAAATAACCATCTTCGTAATTTAGGCCTATGTGCCGGCCGTTACAATAGATTATTTGACAGGTCTCTGCAATTAGCACCCTTTGGTTCATAGATAAATAGGAAAATCATTTTACAGTTTATAAAGTATCACTTATTTGCTCTCTGTTCACTTTATTTTTTATATAGCCTATATAAATAATGATTCATGATGTTTTCCATTATTCTCGCTGATAAAGGAGTGGCAGAAATATCCGAGTTACTAATAAATCATTTTATATTTTATATTGTGTTATATTTTATTATACTATATTATATTATATTTACCGTAGTTAATACTGTATTTTATTGTCATTTTTAATATACTTTAGTTCTATTTTTGCTCGCCTATAACATTGAGGGCGTTTGTCCTCGACCTCATGTTATAAATAGTGATGTAACGATTGTTTTGAGCTGGAACATCATGGTTGGAAGTATCCGTGTTGTCAAGTACTGTAGATAGATACCAGGATCGTTAATAAGTTTAACCTAACATGTTGTTGTTGCAATAGTAGTAAATCATAAAGGTTAGTGAAAATTAACATGACTAACTAGCCTAGCCTACCTAGGCCTAGCTAGGCCCAGCAGGCCAGGGGGCCTAGGGACCCGTTGACTATGCTTCAGCTAGGGCTGTTGCTAGTTTGGCCTAGACGCAGGGTTCCCGGCATGCAGGCGCGTGTGCGAAGCACAACTCAGAGTTATTAATTTCCCTGATTTTTCTGTTTACCTTTGCAATTTTACTTTTGTTCACTTATTGTTATTTAATTAGTAAGTTTGGACGCACCGCTGATTTAAGTGTGTGCCACTGACTGTGACTGTTGTGAAAATGTGTGTGCCAATAAAAACTGAAACTGAAACTAAACTGAGTCACAAGTGGAACGTGAAATTTCGGTATGTTTTTGTTGTCAGATTTGCGAGAAAAAACTTCAGCTACATGTATTTCTCGACTGAGACGTCAGTGGGGTATGTAATTTGTATGGCAAGGAAATGGTGCTACCCTTATTAATTCGTACAAGGGAATTTATGCACTTGTCAATTGTAGTCCATGCCCTTCCCCCTCCCACTAAAGACCCGGGCCTAGCAGGGACTTAACCAGGGATGTAATTTCTGAAACGGTTACATGCATATGAAAGTCCCGGCCACCTCCTGGCAATGTGGGGCATCGTTTTAACGTTCATCCCCCGGCTAAGTCCCTGCCAATTACCGCCATACACACCCCAAACACAGCTCTATTATAATGTGTAAACTTCCCGGGCCTTCCAAGGCCTGTTACATCTACAGGTAAATTTTACGTACGTCCCGGCACTACAGGGACACAACTATGTGTACATCCCCGCCTCAGTCCCGGCTAGTGCCTCACTATGGCCCGGGGGAGGGGGAATACATAAGCTAGATTACATCACCTTTTCCTGGTATGGCAAACTTTCCCGGTGTGCGTTTTTCATGGATAAACAAACACCACTGCTTTGCACATGGATGCCTTGCCTAGCTAAGGCTACAAAAAGAGCCACATTGTTTTAGTATAGTGTATAGTACTTAAACAAGGTACGTCTGCAACTGAATTATTCTTAGTTATTTTTTTCTTTTCTTATTTTAATTTATTTCTTTCGAAAGTGTACTTTCTATCTCATATAATTGCAATGTCTACTTAGGCCTAAGCCTAGTCTTATTATGCCTCATAGTCCCCCGCTACACAGTACATCAGTAGGCTAGCGCCCCCCCCCCCACGCAC